CAGACAAATTACAGCTACTAAAGCACACGCAGACACAGATCACACACATTCTTCCAATAAATATCTACTGAGCGCCTACTATGTGCCAGGCCTTAGGGATAAAACTGGTGAGCTAAAACAAGACAAGAGTCCCTACTCTCATGGAGAATGAAGTCTAGTGGGGGTAGACAGACATTCATTTTAAAAACTTACAAATAAATCATAGCAGGCACCCTACAGGATCACAGAACACACCCAAAGCAAACATAACATACAGACACTGAATGCAGGTCCTCCCAGAAACAGGAGAAAACCTTCCCTCGGGTCAGCTTATCAGACAGACCCAAGGCTGAGGGATCTCACCCACCAGCAGGAGATCTGGGTGCTCCTGGAACCTGGAAGGCAGAGACTATTAGCCATTCCACTGGGTTCAGGAACTGACCCGGTGCAAGACTAAAGCACCCTGGAAGGGTTCCAGCTGAGAAAAGTTCCAATGCACTTTTTTATTTTAAGAGATTTATTTATTTGACAGAGAGCGAGAGAGAGATCACAAGTAGGCAGAGAGGCAGGCAGAGGGGGAGGAGGAAGTAGGCTCCCTGCTGAGCAGAGAGCCTAATTGGGGGTTCAATCCCAGGAGGACGAGATCATGACCTTAGCTGAAGGCAGAGGCTTAACCCACTGAGCAACCCAGGCGCCCCATCAATGCACTTTTTAAATAACTTCTCAATACTATAACCTGAAAATTCAGAAAGTACAAAAGGTACAATGAAGAGTAAGTTTCGGCTCCTCTTCAAAACCCATTTGCTGGGGCAATGGGTGGCTCAGTGGGTTAAAGCCTCTGCTTTAGGCTCAGGTCATGATCCCAGGGTCCTGGGATCGAGTCCCACATCCCCCACATTGGGCTCTCTGCTCAGCGGGGAGCCTGCTTTCCCCCTCTCTCTGCCTGCCTCTCTGCCTACTTGTGATCTCAGTCTGTCAAATAAATAAATAAAATCTTTAAAAAAAAAAACCATTTGCTTTTGATACATTTTGGATGGATGGGATGACTGGTTGACAGTAACGGGGGGGTGGTGGGGGAACACAACATCAGATTTATGAAACCCTAGTCCAAGTATATAATGTATGCTCAAAAGAAAACACTAGTTATTTTTACACACATAACTCAAGAGAGCAAGTACTGAAATACAAAACAGATTTTTAAGGCTATGGGGTTAATCCTATCCAGGATAAACAGAGACAAGTAGACAAAGGAAGTGGGATGGGTCATTTGAATAAAGTCTGTTTGGGATTCCACATTCCTCCTCTTTTTTTCTCCTCCTCTCCTGCCCCCTCACCACTTTAGAAATCAAAATTCTATCCCCAAAGACTTAACTGCAAGCTTTGGGGCCCTAGGTATAAGGAGAACTTCCCAGTGCTGGCTGCAGCGTATCCAGGAAAAGAACCCTAAGAAGGCTGTTCCAACACCCCTTTGGGATGCCCCTACACTGCTGTTTAAAATACTTCTCACTCAGACCTTTCTTAAAGAACAAAACAAAACTGTGTGCCTGTGCCCATCAGGGGGCAGCAGCCACCCACAATGCAGAGAAATTCTGTGCCCCTAGGAGTAGATAATAATGCTGCTGACCCTTTCTACACTTCCGGAGTTTCAGACCTGGGCGGGGGTGGGGGTGGGGCGTGTGCATCTCAGACTCCCAACCTCAACCTCAGCCCTGTCCCCTCCTATCCCTGCACATCAGGGAGACCACATGGTGCTTCAGTCAGGAATATTTGCTCATCCAGCTCCCCAGGACACACGCAGGGTTCTTTATTAAATAGCGGGAGTTGTGGTCCCCTGTACCACATCAGCAACGTGGCTTCCAGGGGAAATAAATTGTTGGCTTCTCCCTCATCCATCACTGTTCAGGAGCCCTGGAAGGAAGGAAGAGAGGCCTGGGCTGTGCTGTCTCCCAGCCAGCCTCTCCCAGGCCCCATCCCTCTAGTCCCACTCCCCCTTGCAAGTCAAACCTTCTTATTATACCACTTACTTCTTGTGCTTAGCACTTCTCACAGCTGTAGTTAGTGCTATTGTAATTATTTATATGATTTGTTCTTTTTTTTTAAGATTTTATTTTTAAGTTGGGGCGCCTGGGTGGCTCAGTGGGTTAAGATTTTATTTTATTTTTTAAATATTTTTTATTTTTTTATTTGGCAGAAAGTGAGAGATCACAAGTAGGCAGAGAGGCAGGCAGAGAGAGAGGGGAAAGCAGGCTCCCCGCTGAGCAGAGAGTCCCATGTGGGGCTTGATCTCAGGACCCTGAGATCATGGCCAGAGCCGAAGGCAGAGGCTTAACCCACTGAGCCACCCAGGTGCCCCAAGATTTTATTTTTAAGTCATTTCTAGACCCAACATGGGGCTCGAACTTACAACCTCAAAATCAAGAGTCATATGCTCTACGACTGAGCTAGCCAGGTGCCCCTATTTGATTAGTGCTTCAGTGTCTGCCTTCCCCCAAAGACCTTCAAATTCATACATTCAGGGCTGGTGTCTGCTTCGTTCACCTCTCACTGCTCAGCACCTAGCATATTGTAAGCATTCCATAAAATGTTTTAAAGCGATTGAATGACTGAATGGATGAATGAGTTTGTCACTCCATCCCCTAAAGTACTAAGAACTGGGATTGAAGGGTGTGTGCATTAGGATCTACGTGGGCTCCTCTGGGAAACCTGCTTTGGGTAAGGGCCAAGGCATGGGACAAAAGGGAAGGGTTGTTTCACCAAAGTCTTGGCCTCTTTATAGTCAAAGTGCTGAAGTAATCCTTGCAGAGGAAAACCAAAGAAGTGTTGGAGTTAGTGAGCACTGAGCTGTCTTCCTCCCCCCACACTTCCCCATCTCATCAGCCCCATTCACAGCTTCTAGACAGAAAAGGAGTTTGTGTATGAGTGTGTGTGTCAGGGAGAGAGAGACAGACACACACCCCGACAGACTGACTCAGGGCATGTGGGGCTTGGACTGCCCTGTTGTGCATGAAGCCAGGTCCCCTGGTGAGGAAAACGAATGAGCCAGCTGATAAGCATTAGGGCAAGGAAGAGGGGGCCAAGAGGAGTTGGGTGTGAGCAGAGGCAGATGGAAGGTTTGGTGGGGAAGAAAAAGAGCCATTTTTTTCAAGCAGCAAGAATCCCTTCCATGATACAAAGCAGCTCCAGTGCTGGGTCTGCTACAGCCACTATGACACCAGTGAGAAATGCCTATAATTAGGAGGCTGGCAGTTCCCTGGGCCTCAGCCCAGAGTGACGATGCAGCAAGAATTTCTGAGCCACGCTGAGCCAGGTGATGGAGGAGACACAGTCAAAAACCACTCCAGTTCCATTCCTCAGTGGCTCCTGTCTCACTGAGCTCCCTACCATGACCCTCACTCTCTCCAAACACCACTGATTCTTCCTCCTTCCGAGGTCCAAGACCCTGGACCATCTTCTCAGGCAAGACAGATCTTCACGTGCAAGGAGAACAGTGCTCTAATTCTTCCACTAGTGCACGGACCTAGTCTGGTGAGGCCCCACCCCTCGGGGCCTCCCTGCCGGCTTTCCTCTTGACTCCCCCACCTCCCTTCTCCAATCCCCATGAGCTGATGGGAAGACTTGGGAGAAAAACCACTTCTATTCCTATTTTTTCATTTTAAGCCTGGGATGTTGTGCCCCTGTCGGTTTTCCTGTGACATGCAAGACATCTGCCAAAACACTGCCAAATTTTTATTTCCAAACCTAATCTACAACCCTGTTTTAGTGCCACTCTGAACTTAATTGCATTTTAGCCAAATGACGAATGCACACCCCAGAGCTCAGAGCCAACTGTTCCGGACAAGGGAGAGGTTCCAGAGTCCCCGGAGGCCTGGGTCTCTGCATTGTGAACTCTGCTTTGGTGGGTAAATTGGGGTCGGGGTTTGGAGGAAGATCCCTTTAGGGAGGATCTGCACCATGGGAGATGAGTGCAGGGAAGGAGGGCTTGTAAGTCCAACCTTGAAGAGGCCTTGTTGGTAGGCAGAGCAGGTAGTGTCCTCTGTGAGTTCCTCTGGGAACATGGCAGGGGGAGTTGCTGGGGATCCCAGCTCAAAGTGATCAAGCCCTTGATGTGTGTATCAACATTTCCACAGAGGACTTCACCATGGACTCGCTCATCCCTAGCCAGCTGTCCCCCACAACCTGCAGCCGGGCTCCTAGGAATGCAGAGGTTTCTACCAATGGGTATAGAGGTCCCACCTCACTTCCCAGGGCCTGCTTCATCTCTGACAAGGCACTTCCCAGAGAGTCAGAGGATTTTTACAGGGTCACTCCCAGGGCCCTCACTCAACCCAGCTGTAGGACAACAAGGCTCCTTGCAATTGGGAGTAAAGGTCACCCAGGTGTGAGATGAAGCCTCCCCACCCAAACACGGCTTGTCTTCCAGTTCTGATGGAATGGCTGCTGCTGTGGGCTGATCTAAGCTTTTCCAAGAAGATTAGACCTTTCTCTGAAAATATTTTATTGATAAATTAACTCTGGAAGCGCTCACCTCCCACCCAACTGCTGTGGAGTCTCCTGGATGGGCCATGGACCCTTCAACAGGGAAGGATCGTGTGGAGGACAGGGAGTCTCACTCACACAGGAATGGGATTCCTGGGTATGGCACAGGTGGGTGTGGGGACTGAAGCCAGTCTCGAGGTCCTTGGAGGACAGCCCCTCTCACTCAGCACCAGAGTGGGGAGTTGGTGGTCAGGAGTGGAGCACCTTGGAGCTTTATTGCTGGTGAATGCCAAGGCAAGTGGGACCCCTGCCAGCCTAGAATTGCAGCAGAGGGCATCCGTGCCCAGGGCTCCAGGGGAGGTGGCACTAACCCCAATCAACAGAGCCTGGCTGCTGACCCACCCACCCAGCGACCCCTGGATGGGGAAGAAGCGGGGAGTGGTATCTGAGCCAGGCAGGATGGGGAAAGGGCTACAGTGTGCAGGTCTCAGGCAGAGCAGGCGCCAGGAGGGGTCGTAGGCTGGGGCGGCCAGGGGGCCGCCTCTTCACAGGTCTATGGTGTCGCTGCCCACACTCAGCTCGTCGATCTGTCGACAGGCGTCCAGGAATTGCTCCTGCAGCAAAGCCTCTGCGGCCTGCAGCTCGGGAGTAGGCTCTGGGGAGTCGCGGGAGGGTGGGGACAGGGCCTGGTAGGAGCCTGAGCCGGGGAGGCTAGGGCTGCTCCCCGAGGGTCGCGGGGGACTGAGGACGCAGACCAGTGGACAGCGTGGGGGCCTGTCGGGGCTGGAGCACAGTAGCATGGACGAGCTGTCCCGCGAAAGTCCGCACAGTGAGCCCGAAGAGGCGCTGCTGCCCATGGGCCAGGCCCGGGGAGAAGGGAGCTCCAAGGGCACAGGGGAGCCAGGGGCCTCCTCAGACTTCCCCTTGGGCCCGACCCCCATCTTCGTCACCAGCGAGGTGGTGCGGTAAAGGCCGAGCCCAGGCGCGGTTTCCCCGAAGGCAGGGCCCTGGAAGAGGCCGGGCGTGAGCAGCGCCTCGCTGCAGAGGGCCTCCTCAATGCTGCGCCTCAGGTTGATTGGGGAGGGAGGGCGGAAGTCCACGGTGTAGTCGCTGCAGGGGGAGGAGGCCGGAGAAGGGGCCGGGTTGGCCGCCGCGCCTTCGAAGCCCCGGCAGCCGCCTCCCTGGAGCAGGAGGTCGGGGCCAGGCCCTGCCAGAGCGCACAGCTGCAGCAGCTCCGCGTCGCCACGCGCGATGGCGCCACCAAGGGGCTCCTTGTCCGGGGGCCCGGTGACCCAGCCCCCGGGCAGCAGTGGGGCTGCGTGGCCCGGGGACAAGCGGAAGAGCTTGGCCCAGCAGCGCGGCGGCACACGGTGGCTGCTGAGCGCCGGGTAGAGGCCCAGCAGCGCCAACGGGATCGCGACGCCCACCTCGCCCAAGCGCAGGCCTAGCTGGAAGGCCCACCAGGGCCAGGGTCCCTCCAGGCCAGGCTGGCCGCCATAGCCCAAGGCGTGCAGCACCTCGTAGCCCTGCAGGGCTCCGCTCAGCAGCCCGAAGGTCCCCGCCACTGGGGCTGTGCGGGCCGCGCGCCGCCAGGATTCCCGCGGGGCGAAGGGGCTGCGCGCCTGCGGGAGCGGGGTGGGGCCCTTGAAGCCCGACCCTCCCAGGGGAGCTCCGGCCCGCCGCCGCCGTCCCCCCCAGCAGGAGAGCGCCAGTAGGAGCCCGGAGAGGAGGGCGGCGAGGAAGGCGTGCAGCCCGCGGGAGGCGAGACGCAGAGGCCGCAGCGGGCGGTGGGCTGCGCTCCCGACGGCGGCGGCGGCCGCCAGCCCCAGCCCCAGGAGCAGCAGCGCGGCCAGCCCGGCGGGACACCGCGGCGGGCGCGGCCGGGCCAGCAGCAGGCAGGCCAGGCCCAGGCCGGCAGCCAGGCAGGGCAGCGGAAGGTCCTGCAGCAGCAGCCAGGCGAGCGGGGGCAGCCGATCGCGGTGCCCGTAGGCGTCGTAGAAAAGCGGGAAGGCCCGCGTGGTCCCGGCAGAGAGCAGGAGCAGGTCCAGCAGCGCCAGGCAGGGGGCGCCCGGCGGGCAGCGCCAGGGCAAGAGGGCTAGGGCCAGCAGCGCGAGCACGGCCACCAGGCCGAAGAGCGCTCCTACCCCATATACGTGGGCCTCCCAGGCCAGGCCCCAGCGAGCTCTGGCCTCTGCCCAATTGGCTTCCAGGGTCAGGAAGAAGAGGGGCAGCGGAGCCACAGGAGGAGGCCCTTCGGGTTCAGGCAGTTCTCCCATGCGGCAGGACCCTGACCCACACTCTGGCTCCACCGAAGACTTCCCAAGGCTGGCAGGAGAGGAGTCATCTGGGCCAGAGGTAGGGGTAGTGCGGTCTGTGGGCAAAGAACATTCGTCTGAGGCAATTGTACAGCCTTCCCCTGCCTTCCCCACAGCCAGTAGCTTGTGTACCAGAGAGTCTTCATAACATCTAGGACACACGTGTCTTTTTATCCCCCGCTCAGGGAACCTGATGCGGGATTCGATCCCAGGGGGATCATGACCTGAGCTAAAGGCCAGAGGCTTAACCAACTGAGCCACCAGGTGCCCCATACTTGTCTTTAGTAGAGATTCACCGGTCTCTCATCCTCTTGTCTTCCCCTCCCCATCAAACTCTTCAACTCTCATCCCTCCGGCATCCCTAACCCACCCTTTGCTCTCTGCTGTTTATTTCCGCTCATCACTCTGCGATTCTACTGAAAAGGGGTTTTCTTTTTATATGTATTTTATTTATTTATTTATTTGAGAGAGAGAGTGCACATACAAGCTGGGGGAGGGGTAGAGAGAGAGGAAGAAGCAGACTCCCCGCTGAACAGGCAGCCCCATGTGGGAGTCTATCCCAGGACTCTGGGATCGTGACCCGAGCTGAAGGCAGATGCTTAAACGACTGAGCCACCTAGGCGCCCTGAAAAGGGTTTTTCTTAAGAAGCTACAGAATTTTACTGAAGGAACTGGAGAAGGCCCCTCTATTCAATCCTCCCACCACAAAGTAAGCTTCATAAGAACAAAGATTTCTGTCTGTTCTGCTTACATCTGAATCTCCATGCCCAAAATGGGGCCTGGCTCAGAGCAGGCACTGAGCAGCTATTTGTTGGATAAATGAATCCTCTTATTTCTCCAATGAAGACACTGAGGCTCTACAGAGAGGCAAAGCGACTTATCCAAGGTCACAAACTGGCAGATCTCAGAATCCAGATCTGAGTACTGGTCTGAGCCCCTTCTCACAATTCCAGAGTTTTTTCATAAGACTAGTTTGCTTATCTCTTATACTGTACCCCTAACTCCCAATTCCCACCTTGGTGCTAGGAGAAACATCCCCTGCCCTTTTTCATCTGCTTCCCCCTTCCCCCATCTCTTCAGGAAAAGCTCCTACACCCACATGTGGACACATGCAGCAGTGGGGGTGGGGGGAGGGGGAGGTGAGACACTCCTGTTCCCAGCATCTGAAGAGAACACAACCTTTCCCGATCACTGGCCTTGCTGTCTGCCACACCCCCAACCCTTAGTTTACCCATGGCCATGGTCCCCATCCCAACTCAGTCACAAAGTCATTCGTCCAAGGCTCTTAAGGTACATGCCCCTTGAGTTCTCACTCCACTTTATAGAAGTTGACATTGAAATGGACTCCCCTGGGTCTCGAGGCTACCCTTGAACTCTCCAGAAGGAATGACTGGGGCGAGCACAGCGGGATAAGATGCCTTCTTAGTGAATAAGCTTCTCAGGTGCTCTAGGATTTGCTAACTTAAGCTCCCAGCCCCAGTCTGGTCTCCAACACCTTGCCTACATCCCTTCGGAAAAGGGAAGTCACAGGGCACCAGAGGTGGCTCAGTCAGTTGGGTGTCTGAGTCTTGATTTCTGCTTGGGTCATGATCTTGGAGTCATGGGATTGAGTCTGCTTGAGATTCTCTCTCTCTCTGCCCCTCCCCCACACACGCTCACTCCGTCTCTCTCTCTCTGCCCCTCTCTCTCTAAAATAAATAAATATATCTTTAAAGGTGGGGGAGGGGGGAGTCAAGTAAAAGAGGATGAGGAGTAAGATCCCTAATTTACTTTCCTGGAGCAAGAGAAGAGCTAAAAAGAGATCCAAGGATTCTTCCCATGGCCAGGCAGCAAAGGAAGATGCTTCTGGCTCAACCTCTCCCTCCTCCACCTAGCAAGCTCAGCAGATCTGCAGCTGCAAATGAGTATGAAGGGAGAAAGATGGTGGGGAAGAATGGAAACACCCTGGTGAGGGTGGGGAGGGGCACAGAAGGCAGACATAGGATGAGGAAGGGAGGGTCTGCTGACAACGAGACTCCTACCCCAACCACCTGGCCGTGCTCCCGCCTGGTGTCAAGCACACACTACAGGAAGACCCCAGATGCACTCCCACCCCAGGCCATGCCAGTTCCTGCTAGGAGCATGCAAAACAGCAATCCTGAGTACCAGGCTTTAAAGGGGTGGGGAGGGGGGTGTGTGCAGAAAGCGGCTCTGGAGAGAAAGAGGGGAAGACAGCATCAGACATCTGGAGAGGGCAGAGAGGGAGCAGCCATAAAATTAAGTCTACACAGCTCGCTGCCTCTTACAAATGGCAGCAGGGGCCCTGCTTCCCCTTCCATCGCCTTCCCCAAGTCTGAGATGGGAAGAGTCCCTTCTGCCTAAGGCTGTTAAGAGGATAAACGTTCGATGTGGCCAGAGCTCTTCGGAGTGCCTGGTGCGTAATAAGCATTTGGTATGTGTTTGGTGTTGGTATCATCATTATCGGGTAATGTTTATCACTGATCAGTCATCAGCTTGTGTTCATGTCACAGTGACTAGTTCTGGCCTCAAACTAGTTCTTGATCTAATCAACAAAAGATTGTTGTCTCTTGGGGCGCCTGGGTGGCTCAGCCAGTTAAGCGTCTGTTTTCAGCTCAGGTCATGATCCCAGCGTCCTGGGATCAAGCCCTTTGTGGGGCTCTCTGCTCAGCGAGGAGTCTCCTTCTCCCTCTGCCTGCTGCTCCCCCTGCTTGTGCGCTGTGTGTGTGTGTGTGTGTGTGTGTGTGAAATAAATAAATGAAATCTTTTAAATAAATAAAATCTTAAAAAAAAAAAAGACTGTTGTCTCTTAGCCCATACTAATCTTGCTTAGAAAGGCAACACATTGTTTCATCTTGTGAACCCTATTTAAAGAACACCCTTTAGTTGGACTGACTACCCCTGAACACTTAAGGAAGACGCAGCCATGAGTTAAATGAGGTTCATTCAGCTGGGATGTTAGCAGCAGTTTGATGTTAGCAGCATCAAAAACTTGCAACCCCTCTATCAGCTTCATTCCTTTGTCCCCTCTGACACTCTGGCCCAACCCACTTCAGCAAAGTGGATGACTTTGCTTGGCTTTTCCTCAGTGTTGGCGGGCTCTGCAGAAAGGCGATGGGACTGTGCCCAGGAGGGCTATGGCTGGAGCCAGACTGCCACCCCTCACGGCCTCCTCTTTGCTCACTGAGCAGACAAGCACAGCTCTCAGAGATCTGCTCTGCCTCGCCTTCTTCCAGCTCCACTTCTTACCCCAGAGCCACAAGAAACCCCATCTCTCACCTCTGTCCCCCAAGCAACTAGGGCAACTAGAACAAATTTTTAATGTGACTAAGAAGCCAGGAATAAAAAAGGAAACCCAGAAAACAGACAAAGCACAGGCAGAGCTAAGGTCTCAAAGGAGGTAGTTTTGAAGTAGGAGCATTGCTTTCTTGGGGGGAGGTGGGCCTGCCCTATGGACTCAGGTCTGGGCCATGTCGTGGATGGAGACAGGCAGAGAAGACCCAGCTTCTTCAGCCTTGGAAGAATCCGTTTGACCTCAGTCCCCTGTCTCCCCACTTGAGGCTTCCCCAGAAGGAGCCCTCAGTATCCCCCCAGAAGATAGTAAGTTCCTCCGATCCCTCTCCTGAGCAGCCCTCTCTTACAAGGTGGTCCCCCTCTGGCCCTGTGGCCCCTCTTGACCTCATGGGCCAGAAAGGAGGTAGGATGTCAATGTGAGGGATTGGTGAGGTCATAGCTGGCCAGCGAGGAGTCAGGGAGCGGGGCCTGCTAGATTTATGGAAAAGTCAGGCCTGATTATGTACCAGCTGCCCAGATCAAAGGGCTGGGAAATCACTCTCCCAGTAGAAGTGGTAGCCCATGCAGCTGCCTGGCCCCATTCCTCTTCCCCACCCCCTCCTCTAGGATCATGGAAGATTGATCCTCTCTGTAATGGTAACTGACATTCGAAATATTTAACAACTATAAATGGCACAGATAGCAGCCAATAAGAACAGATGTCACCAAGGGTGGTCTAGGAGTAGAGGGGAGGGCTCAGGGGGCTAAGGCCAGTGGGTACTTATCAACTGGGTTGAAAGTCTTTCAATATGTAAATGACCAGCCCAACTTCTCCTCCCATGGTGTACTGGCTGGATACTAGCTGTCCCCCAGGTGATGGGAGCCTAATGCAAGAGAAGAGACCTAGATTCAAAGCTTAAACACACCTAGGTTAGAAAGATCCTAGAAAAGACACACAGAGGCTCTTTTTGTCCCCTAACTGCCTCACACTACTCCCTACACATACTGCTGGCTAGAGCAAGGCCCTTGACCTTCTGGCCAAGGGGCCTCTAGCCCTCCTGGGTTTATCTGAGAGAAAGAGCCAGGAAGTGGCTGAGTTCCTGCAGCCATCAGTAAGGAGGGGGGAGGGGTGGGGCAGTGAGCTGGGCTTCCTCTGATACTGTCCAGACTCATTAAACCTGCCTGGCCAACACTGTCACCAAGGCTGACAGACTGCCAGCCAGCATCCTTCCCCAGGGGCCACAGAGCCTGCCCCCCCCCACCCCAGAGCAGATCCTGCCACTGCTACACACTGGGCTGAGGGGAGAAGGGTCAGCAGCTTCCCCCCACACACACACAAGCTCAGGAGTACAGCGACTGCTTGGGAGGGAGCTAGAGTCAGGTTCTGTGTTAAGTCTGGAACTGGAAGAAACTAGGAGATCAGCGGTTTCCACAGCTGAGCTGGTTCCTCCTGTGAAGTGGCTGAGAGGCTTTGCAACAGTATAAAGGCTTTGCGGAATAAAGCTGGGCCTAGAGGTACCTCTCCATGGCTCCCTTGGCCTCACCTACTAGAGACTCTCCCTGAGTGTGCCCCCTGCCCTGTGGGTTGAGCTGGTTGGCCTTGGGACCAAGGGTACAGTGTTAGGTAGGGTCTGGAAGTGAACTTGGGATGCCGTAAGGGAAAAACCAAGGTTAACAGCTCACCCTTAATAAACTTCTGCTTCATGCCCAGCCTCCTGCCAGGAGCTTGCATTATCTGGAAGCTTCATGATAACAAGATAGGTACTATTATTAAACCCTCGATAGATGAGAAAATTCAGCCTTGGGGAGGTTAAATAACTTGCCCAAGTTCACCCAGCCAGTTAGTAAGCGAACTGGGATTCCAAACCAAGTCTCAAGATTCCAGAGGCCCTGCTCTTTCCTCTGCATCACCAGCTGTCTATGCACATATTCGGAAAGGTTTCCTTGAATAAGGATGGCATCTGTCTACTCAAAGTCTTCTCTTCAATGTCTTCCAATGAGGGGCCCAGCTCTGCTCATAACTGACAACATGTCGTGTCAAATCAGACGGCAAAGGAGAGAGCCCCCAAGGTGGATGGTGCGGGGTGGAGAGGCAGGCCAGGCAGACTGGTGTGAAGGGTGAAGTTGGTACTGAGGCTGTGGGAACCAGGAGGGAGTTCCTGTATCTGTCTGCCTCTCATACATCTGTCTACATCTTGCTTTGCCTGGGATTACAAAACTCTCGGAGGACTGTTACTTAACTCTGTGTGGGACTGCCCCCAGTGACACTTGTTCTCAGACCGTTAATATATATCTCCATGGTGGTGATGAAGAAAACGGTGATTATGATGATGAGGACAAGGAAATAAAAGAGTCCCAGAATGCAGATGAGTGGCTAGTACATAGTAAGTGCTAAATAAACGTCAAGTTCAAATGAATAAGACACTTACCTACTGATGCTGTTGCCATCGTGGCAGAGTTTAGGGAGGCGGCTGGGTCCCACGGGCCTGTGCTTGGGAGCTTTCTCTCCAGGGGGGACGGGGGCGGGGACAGAGTGGTGCCAAAGAACCCTGCAAAGGGAGCACGTGGGGTTCAAGGGCCATACTACCAGCCAGCCTTGGCCTCTGGGGCTTTGGAGAAAATCCTGTCCTTCCCCCAGGGCTTACGCTAAGAGAGCCAATGTACACCAAACAGGAATTGTAGCCACATGAATGCTGGGAGCTAAGCTACTAGAACTCAGTATGGCAAAGAGGGCATTTCCCCATGGGAGCAGTGGCCCGTGTCCCAGGCCCTGGGAGCAGCAACACAGAGTCAAAAGAGAAAGGGAGGTGCTGATTAGGCCCACAGCACAGTGCCTGGCACATAGGATTGTTCCCTAAGTTTTCGTTGCAGTGAAATCAACACTCACCTGGAGAATCTGAAACTCTAGACGCAGAGCTTGGGGATGGAGTTGGTCCTGGAGGGCTTGGGCCTGAGAAGTTCCGCAGTGGGGACAAAGTAGTGCCAAAGAAACCTGCAAAAGGAGCCCAGGCTGAAGCTTCCTCCTACCTGCTAGGCTGCCCAGCAGGGACTCTCCTCCAGACGGGGTGGGTACTCACCAAAGGGTCCCAGGCGCCCTGCAATCTCTGCCAGACTGGCCCGCAGGCTGGGCAGCAGGGGCAGGGTCCGATGCCCGAGCGTGGGGGCTGCGCCTGCCCTTAGCGCCATGTCAAACTTCAGCTCCAGCTCACTCTGATGGAGCCTGGGAGCACTGGACAGAGGTGCTGTGGCTGTCAGAGCAGTGTCCCAGGTCACAGTGCCCATCCTGGGCTGATAGGGAGCAGTGGGCCGGTCAGTGGGCCCAGAGAGGGGGGAGGTGGACTCTGGAGACAGGGAGGAGGCCCAGGGAGTAGAGCTGCCTTCAGCAGAGCCCCACTCTGGGGGGGAGTTCCCAAGGGAGCCCACCAGCAGTTCCCAAAGGGGATCAGTCCTCAACCCACTGGCCACCTCTTCCTCGGGCTCCCGGCTTGGCCCAGCAGAGAGCGGCTGGGTCTCTGTGACTGAGATCCCCCAGGCGGCAGCAGGTCCCCGAAGATGGAATTTGAAGTTCAGTCCCAGGTTGAGAGACAGCATAGAAGCCTCACTCTGAGGTGGTGGGGTCAGAGTGGTGAGAGGGACACCTGGGACGGAGGAGGCAGGCTGGGGGCCCACTGGAACAGCAACCAGGACCCAGCAGAACAGCCCCAGCCCCAGACAGCCCTGCCCTGCCATGGCCCCACCTGGCCTCAGGTGGCCACAGTGGGCAGGGCGCTCAGTTCTTCGGCACTTTTTGAGCCTGAAGGTCCTGGAGAGAGGAGAGGCGCTATGAGCCCTGGCTGCCTGGGGTTGGATGCCTGCCCCCCCCCCTCCCAGAGAGACTGCTGATCACCAAGAAGCAGGTGGTGGGGGCGGGACACAAAGGGCTCTGCCCAGGGAGAGTTGCCAGCTCCTTCCTCCATTCAGGCCCCAGACCACATCTCTCACCGGGATCTCTCCTTCTCTTCCAGCTAAAGCCCCTTTCCCTAAACCCCTGCCTCCCCTACCTGCTCACTCTGGGGACTGGGGTCTGAAGGCGACCAGCTGCCCCTATCCTCTCCCAATAGCTGAGGGGGTGGACTCGGGTTCCCAGACTCAGATCCCTTCCTTCCCTCTCTTCTCTCCACCCGCCCACCTTCAGATATTTGCTGAGGCCTACTATGTGCCAAGCACCCTTCTGCTGATACAACTGTGAACAAGCAAACCCTCACAGAGGAGCTTGGGCCTGCTTCCACCCCCGACTCGGGCTCCAACCTAAGGTGCTGGCACTCTCTCCCACTCAGACCCCTGGAACGCAGGCCCTGGGAGGGGCAAAGCACAGGGCTGCGTGATCTGGCCCAGCGGGAAAAGGCAGCCAGGCTCCAGCCAGAGAAGCAGGGTGCGCTGGTCTGGCAGAAGCTGGCCCATTCAGCCTGCCCCCTTTTTCCTGGGGCTTGGCCCTGCTCCCTTCCCCTTAACCCTAGAAGTATTGGGGGGAGGGGCCGCTTGGCCATCGCGGGCTTCCTGAGGATGATGGCCAGGCAGGCAAGCTAGGCGCGGGGCTGCTGCAGTGGAGTCCGACCTCCCCGCCCCCCCGAACACCCCCTCCACGCACACACATCTGGTGGGGGAAGGGGAGGGTAAGCCAGGGGCACACGTGCACCCGTCACCCTTACATCACACACACAGCCACACCTAGCACCCGAGACACACTCACCCACTCACCCTTCACACACCCTGCACACACACGTGTACACACACACACATCCGATTCTGCCGAGCCCCCTCCCTCTTACAGGGGTTCAGATCCAAGCTCTGTGAGCTCCCAGCCTTCTCTCTCTCTCTCTCTCTCTCTCTCTCTCTCTCACACACACACACACACACACACACACGCACGCACGCCCCTCACAGACACGCACAGTATAGACAGTCACACGGAGGCGCACACACACCTACACACACATTCACACACTCCGTACAGACACATCACACACCTTCGTCGCCCTACACACCCACCCACCCCTCGAAGGCTCGCTGGCTCTCTGGCTCCCGCTGGCTCTCACTCTCTCCCTCTCTCCCCCTGCCCGGCCCCGCCGACCTGCTCCTCCGGCTCCCTCCCGCAGACGGGTCTCCTCTGCCAAGTCCCCCGAGAACCGGAGGTCGCGGCGGCCCAGGCGCCCAGCTGGACAACGCTCCGGCGAGTGTCGCCGGTTCTCTCGGTCGCGCCCGACTACCCCCTCGGCACGTCCCGGCGACCGCGGCTACGCCGCCAGGCCACCTCCGGTCTGGCCCACAGCGCTGTCCCCCGCGGCCGGCCGGGTCCGGCTCGCAGCCCCGCACTCCCTCCCCGCGGCGCCGCCTCCTGGCTGCGCGCCCCGCTCCCCGGCAGAGCCGCCAGCGCCGGGCTCCGCGGCAGCAGCTCTCTGACCGCCCGCCCTCCCTCCCCGCCTGCCTCCCTCCCGCCCGCCCCTCCCTCCCTCTCCCCTCCCCCTCCCACCCGCGGCCCGCCCCCCACCCGGGCAGGCAGGCGGGCGCGCACCGCAGCGCCCCGCGCCGCCGCCTCTGTGCCCGTCGCCCCGACGCGCGCTCATTCACCCCGCGCTGCCCATCCGCCACGGGTGCGGGCGTCTCGCTCGCAGCCCGGCGCCGGCAGCCACGCACTCCCCTGGCGGCCGGTCATGCGCATCCACGCGCCCTCCTTCCCTGGGAAACACAGCCGTGGGCCGGAGTCCCCCGCGCGCACACGCCTGCACACACCCGCGCGCGCGCGCGACCCCGCTAGCTGGCCCCGGGACGGCACCCCAGGCAAGAAGAGCCGCCGTGAGCAGAAGTGTAATGGCTCATTAGTCCTCACCACAGTCCTCTGGGTGTCCACGTTTCACAGGTAGGTTAATTGAGGCTCGGAAAAGTCCCAAATTTGCCCAAGATTACACAGCTCGGCAGGGACTTGTACCCAGTCTATGTGCTGCCCGCTCCACAACCTGGTGGCTTCCAACAGTTGTACCGCTACGCGGGAGGGCCTGCAACACTTCACAGTTGAACTGCAGATTACCCATCAGTGTGTAACTTTTTTTTTTTTTTTTACTAAAACCGATCTTTCAAAAATACTCAGAGTTTCAGAAATGTCTGCCAGGAAGAATGAATGGTAATCTTCAGCTGCATGTGAGAGATGGATTATAACCAGTCTCCAGGAACAGAGGAATCAAAGAATGTGCAGCTTCAGGAGTATAGGAGAGCCCAGACCAAGGCTAACCCTGGGTTAAAGATGACAAAGGAGCAGGGAGGTCACTGTGGATACTCTATGGACCCTATTGGGCTGTCCCAGTGACTGGCTTAAGCAGTTCCAGCTCATCTGTGTTATCTCGACTCTCTAAATCCCTTCAAGCGTTCCTGCAAAAATGCTGATATTTAAACGTATGGGGAGAACATAAGACAGGAAGCTCCCCCACATAAAACTGTCCCTCAAAATCTAGACACCCTGCTGTGTGCCAAGCTTCGTGCTAGATGCTTTAGGAATATCCTCACTTATTCCTCATCACAAGCCACAGAGAGAAAAATTATTGTCACTGAGCGATGGCCTTGGATGTGCCTCTGACCCCGGGTCCATCTCCACTTCTCTTGCTGCTCTGTGAGGTTGGGGGTGGCTGTGTTGAAAGAGTTACTGAGGGCAGATTCTGTCTCAGTCACAGAGAGTTTGCAAAAGGGTCTCACAGAGTTATAGAAATTTCACGTAGAGAGATACCCTGGGTAGGGGCTCAGTGAATATCAGATAAGTGAATAATGACACCAACAAAAAAAGATGAATTCTGGGCTCCAAGTGGGCAGTGAGATGTGTTTCAGAAAGGCATCGAGGATTCATCTTTTTTTTTTTTTTTTTTTTTAAATCACAGAATTCCCTCAACTGATGTAAGATAAAATCAGGCAACAACTGATCCTCTCTCCCGGGAATGTCAACGATGAACTCTGGTTTGTATTCTGGGTCCCTAAACAAAACATTGCAGAGGGCATTCCTGGGATGCACCCTCTGGGATCACTATAGGATCTCTCTCCTAGTAGGGAACTCCTCCAAATCCTCTAGGGGCTGCCTGAAGCCTGCTTACTGGGACCCAGCCTCTGGTTTTCTCTCATATACTTAATAAACGTTATCCTGCTAGAGACATTTCCCTTGAATCCTCCTCATAGAAAGGCTCATTTCCTGCTAATCGTGTTCACTTAAAGACTTTAAATGGGAAACCAGAAATAAACATACCCCAGTACATTAAAACAGCAATCTTCCATGACCACGTAGAGTTATTCCCAGGGATTATATATTTTTTAAATATATTGGAAAGGGAAGTTAGGGTTCTGAGTTCAGATGATGATTAAATACGTATATCTAATTTCACTTCCTCCTAAAACCCCACTAAAAAAACTTCAATAAAGAGATTTTAAAATCAAGAGATAAATCCTCAAGGATGGAGAGAACAGGAAAACAGACAACAGCCACAGAATTTTTGAAGCAGGATGGCAAACGGCCATGCGGTTACTGACTTATCAGCCCTGAGGAAAAAAAAGACATCTCAGCTAGCAGTGGGGAAAATGGAGAGCCGATTTGATTTACGCTGAGGGTTCTCAGAAGACACAGGAACTGGCAAGCCAAGGGCCCTCTGGAACTGTGAAAGAGGTTGTTAAGATTAGGGCCAGGATAAAAAGCAGTTAGATCCTTAGATTTCTACCCTAACTCCAAGCCAGTGGGCTACAAGTTCCTCGCCCATCCCAACCAGAGTCTGGAAGATTTTCCCCTGAGGAAGGTAAGGTAGAGGGTATCTAGATTGAAGAAGCTCCAAACGCAGTTGTGAACAGAGATACTCTACTGAAAATGCTGGAAACAGGGGGATTAAGTGACCATGTCACATGGGACGCTGAATGCGGAGGCCCCTAGCCTTCTCCTACTATTGGGCTCCCAAAGAGCTGGGAGTAGGACCTTTGCCCTTTGGGCAGGAAACTGGAAGACTCTACCCTAAGGTATTTCACAAGCCCAAGAGGAAACTGACATACAGGTTTTCCTCAAAACAACCCAACTAGATCACCCTACAGTGGCGAATCCAACCTGTGAGTTGAATCAGGGTTTTTGACTAGCCGTCTCACCTTCCACAACCTTAATCATGGCCAAAAGTTACCAGACATCCGGAAAATTTCTTTTCTTTCCCTTTTTTTTTTTTTAATATTTTATTTATTTATTTGTCAGAGAGAGAGAGAGAAAGCGCATGCACAAGCAGGGGGAGCAGCAGGCAGAGGGAGAACGAGGCTCCCCACTGAGCAAGGAGCCCAATGCAAGGCTTGATCCCAGGACTCGGGAATCATGACCTGAGCTGAAGGCAGACGTTTAACCGACTGAACCACCCAGGCATCCCCATCTGGGAAATTTTCTAATGCAAAGAGAGACAAAACAAACAGCAAAAAGTAACTTGCAGGAAACAGGTTATACAGAGATCGAGGAGTGTCAAAAGCCCATTGCTAATGTTAGAGAAGTAAGACAAGCTAGTACATCCATAAAACAAGAACAAGATTGTATACAAAGGAGCAACCAGAACATAGCAACAGTGAGAATTATGTCTTGAAAAATAAAATCATGACAGCGGCAACAAAACATCAGTAGAAAGATGGGAAGATAAAACTGATTAAGTCCCCTTAGGAAGTAAAGCAAGCATACTAAGAAAATATAAGATTATATAAAT